CACAGACACACACAACTCTGTTATCACGACTGTTCAGTCTCACGTATGTATCGATAACACCGGCGTTTTGCTTTACAGGTGGCCTTCAATCACCCGCGAGCGGCCGCTCCCACGTCTGAAAGGCGAACCACGCAGTCCATCAATCATTACCATCAATTATTAACTGTGCAAATGTCTGCTTGTTTTTATGTGCAAAATGGCTAATAAAGTGCTTGTTTAAAGTGCAAAGTTTCCTCAAAGTGCAAATGTGTGTTGTTAAAGTGCTCCATGATCTCTAAAACCCGGTGATATTCACACACCGCCCGTAACGAAGTTCCTCTTCGTTACAGATACCAATACAAGCAAATAATAACCCTTTTGTAAAAATCTCTTTTTACTACAATGTGCTGACATACATCCAGATCATTTCCATTGCCAACAAAATCATAACATAAACCATTTTCATATTTACAAATAACATTTTAACAGGTGCTTGTAGTTTTACACGTATGTATATTATTGATAATGTATTGAGCACCCGGGTTAAAAAAAATGTTTTGCAAAAAAAAAAGTAAATACAGATTTAATTGCTTGCTGTAGCAAAAGAAAATGTAACCATGTTTACTGTGTTGTGTCCTGGAATTAAATGTTTTAAAAGTTAGTGACTATGTGTCTGCAATTTTCATTTTTACTCTGCTCTTACAAATCCTAAATGTTAGACCACTAAAGTACTGTTTCTATCTATTTTGAACTGGAAATATTTGGTACAACATTAATTTCACAGCTATGCTTTATTTATTTGTTTATTTAGTTATTGATTGATGGATGGATGGATGAATTGATTGATTGATTTGCCGTTATCACAGTTCAAAAAATGATTTTGACAATTTCATTCTGAATGTAGGATTTGGTTGGAATGTAAGACGAGAAAAAAAAAAAAAAATGAAATGAAAGACGTTGTAAATATACACTGTTACAGACCCAGGACAGTTAATGATGTAAATCCAGTTGTATCCGCTGTCTAAGTGTGATGTAGAGATTTACTGTTTCAAACACATCATTTGTTAATCTCAGATCATACTCTGACATCAGGTCCACAGATGAAATAAACAGAAAATATCATCATCACAGGGGAAGTCCTTAAACATACATTCTTCAAGGCACACTTGGGCTTTTTCCAGGTCCACACTGTGCAAAAAATCCCTGCCTCCATAAAGCTGAGGGTCTGCATGTAGAATGGAGGGACATCCATGAGGTGATTGTGAGTTGTGGACTTGACGGACTCTGTGGTTG